CTCTTCTAACCGGTTCGGTAGATTTGACAAACCCGTTCTACCGAATAGGTGCGAACTGGTAGGAACCCACCTCTGTTTGTGCTGGACTCGTATTTATGACCGTTGCGGCGTCCCAGAGGATCAGGTGACCCCCCCCCTTTTGAGACCTTCAGAGTCAATGAAGAAGCCACATTCACTTAACAACCAGCTGACCAACTTGACCACTGCAATGATTCACTGAACAACCGTTGCAAGAAAAGTTGTGAAATGGGACAAAGCCATCTTTACAGATGTTTTGCTTAGCAACATCAATTTTGGTCTCGATTACGGTCATAACCCAAGGACTACCTGTATGGTTGGTGTACGTTTGAAGTCTTAACCGCATCTGGAAATACCAGTGACTTCCTACCGCTAGTCAGGGTTGAAGTAGAAAGAAGTGTGCAGAAGGGAGAGGTGTGTGGGATGACTTTCATGAAAAAAAGTGTGTGGTATCTTAAAAGACTTTTTCTATAACAAAAGCTTGTGCATACGATCCACCTTATCAGATACTGTGCAATAGTACTTAAGATGTCCTAATTTTGGAATGCATAAACCCAGATGGGTACGAAGACCAGATGAAACCACTGTGGCTGGGTGGAAAGAATACAGGTAGTTCTCAGCTTAAGCAACAATTCATTTAGCGACCATTCTAAGTTACAAAGGCACTGAAAATAGTGATTTATGACCATTTATCACACTTATGACCGTTGCGGCATCCCTATGGTCAGGTGATCAAAATTCAGCTGCTTGGCAACCGTCTCATATTTATGATGGTTGCAGTGTTCAGGAGTCATATTGTGACTTTCTGACAAACAGTCAATGGAGAACTCACAACCTTGTTACTAATTTAATAATTGTGGTGATTCACTTAACAAATGTGGCAAGAAAAGTTGTAAAATGGGACAAATTCACTTAACAAGTAACAACAAGTTAGGCTGAATTGTGGTCATAAATTGGGGACTACCTATAATTAAGACAGTATTAGGACTACAAATGTTACAAATCCCATTATCATAATACAGCACTATTGCTCTTACTGTGTAAACAGATTTATGCATTAATCCTGCAACATAAGGCCAGGTTAAACAGGAAGCTGTCATCCTCCTATCTTAGCCACTTGCTAAAATGAAATGGCTCTTTTTTGTTTGTTTTCTATGGATATAGTGGAAAGGAAGATTTTAAAAAATAATAGGGTTGCTCTTAAACATCTGTCTCTTTTCAAAGGTTGGAAGAGCAGGTTAGTCCCAATTCACTCGCTTTGACCTTTGATTAACAAAAAGAGGATATATAAATCATTTCATNAAATATGGTAATTAAATCTACAGATATATTATCATTTTAAGAAATTGTAACTTTTTTCATAATGGCAGGAGAATGGTAGTCATTACTTAAACGCTAGAAATTTGTCTGTGCAAAAAGTAAAAATATGATTGCATAAATGTTGGCTAATTCAAAGTAGAAAGGACTCATTGAAAGAGTAGGAATAGAAAAAAAACATGTTCACAAAAACTTGTATTTGACAATATTTTGAGCATTTTTGTTTTTAACATGTAACTCTGTCTATAGTCTTCAGTTCAGGCAATAAATTCTAGAGATGTGTCTGCTTTTTCCTTACAGGTCTACAATACGAGCTTTGATCAAGAATTTTTCTATTGCTTCCTTCTTTCCAGCATTCATTACTCTCTTATTCTTTCAACATAACAGAACAGCCTACGATATTGTAGCAGGGACTATTGTAGTAAAAAGATATGGTCTCAGATGATACTCAAGGACTCCTTTATTCCACTGTTCAAATATACTGGAATCACTTTGCTGGATTTCTGAATCTCACCCTAGAACAGTGCCAATTACAACATTGAGTCACAACATGAGTGCAATAAGTCTTGGGGACTGGTGCTGAATGAATTTGAGAATATTTGAACAGAAACAGATGACTCAAAATCTTCAAAAGTCATTGGCAGTTTCAAAGGAATAGTATTTTTCTTATGAGAGGAATACTAATTCTGTATCAAAAGAGAATTTATTTTTTATGGAAACTAAACCATTGTCATTGTTGGAGCAACCAAAGCAATTGCAGTGTTTTTGAGAGAAATTTATTACAGAGAATTGTTTGCTCTTGTTTTGGTGGATTTGTAAGTGTTTGCTACTCATATAGAAGCCTTATCATTAATTGCTCACACAACCATTGTATTTTCAATACTGAAGAAATTTCTGTACATATGTTCAATGTCTTGCATGATATGAGTATCTTGAACAAAATACAAATTCAACATATCAGATATTACGAAGGCAAGTAAAACTAGTATTAATTAACAGGTAAATACTGAGAACTTTGCCAGTACTGCTATAGGCACCAAGACAAATTCAATTTAACCCCTGCTTTGGATGGTTTATAAATTGTTTTCCCATAAACTTTCAAGTTTTCTATAAAAGCATAGAAAATTTAAATATGTATTTTATTGTGTAAAACACTTATTTCACTTATTTAACAACAGCCAAACTAAACTTTGAATAAACCAGAGAAAATTTATGCATAACCTTTTGCACCATTTTATAAGAAAATGAGGTTTCTTATATTAAAATAAATTACATAATTGCTAATGCAATATAAAGGGTGTAAAAATGTAAATTAGTACTCTTATTTTATCTGCCTGTGTGCCTGGATCACTTAAATTATACTTACAAAATAAAGCCTATTTATTTTGCATGGTTTATTTTTATATATTTATGTGTTCTCAATTTTTTACATCTGACACATTGATTTAATAGTGATATTCTTCGTTAGTTTTCTGTTCATTTAGGATTGAATAAAGTTAGGGAGGAGAAAAGACTACTAAGTAGTCCTTGACTTAGAACCATTTATGATGGTTGCGGTGTGCTGGGCTCATGTGACCATCTTTTGCGACATTCTGATAAGCAGAGTCAATGGGGAAGCCAGATCTACTTAACAGGGAAGTATGTGGCTGAGCTCTCCTATCCCTTTGGTGTTCCTATTTCACTTCCTGAGATTAGTGGAAATGCTGAGACTTAAATGGTTCTGGTAGCTTCATCTAAAGCAATGGTGTCAAACTCGCGGGTCACATTGGCCACGCCCATCCCGTTTAGCGAAGGGGGGGGAAATCACGATATATCACTTGAGGTCATAACACCAAGAGTTTGACACTACTGATCTAAAGCATGGGCATCCAACCTTTTGGCCTGCCTGGGCTATATTGAATGAAATGTAATTATCTTGGGACGCATATAAAATGTGTAATATAGTTAATGTATATAAATGACATAATGTTAAAAATTTAGTATCTTGTGGGGCTGCATTACTAGCTATCCAAGGTTGCATGCAGCCCATAGATCACGGGTTGGACACGATTGATCTAGCGGCTAGAAGAGTTTGTGATGGCACCATGATTAGAGCTTAAAACAAATTGAATGCAACTGTATCTAAGGAACTTTGCGACTCCCTAGGAATCATAATTCAAGGCATGGAATAATGCAGTGTTTCTCAACCTTGGTAACTTGAAGATGTCNAGGCCTGGGGTTAAAGATTGTAACCCGCCCGAATGGTATGAATGTTGTGTTTTAATTATGTATTGTCTTATATGTTAAAGTTTGTCTCCCCCCCCCTTTTGGGTTGTGAGCCTCCCTGAGTCCCCCCAGGGAAAAGGGCGGCATATAAATAAACTTCTACGATCTACAATCTACAACTGTAAATAGCAACTAAAATTTGCACTTGACCAAGAATCAGAAACTGCACAAAGCAATGTAGATAAGAGCAAATTTTATTTACGGGGACGGAAAATAAGTTATCCTTCCCATTACACAGGTAATCCTTAACCACCATTTGTTCAGCGACCATTCAAAGTTATGATGGCACTGAATGAAGGGACTTACAACCGGTAGTGAAAGTTTGGACCATTGCAATGTCCCCACAATCACATGAACAAAATCCAGGTGCTTCGTACTTGCGACCAGTTGCAGTGTCCCACAATCCGACCACCCCTTGCAACCTTTCCCGCCATCTTCCTACGAGCAAAGTCAGTGAGGAAGTGCGCAAGGTCACGAATCCTCTCCCACCTTTCTATGCTTGCATGCATTATGTGCACCTTCCCCTTTCACATGCAAACACTTGCACCCTCTTTTTCTGCCTCCCTGCACTAACACGCATGCACGCACACCCCATTCCCTCATTTCTCATCCTCCTTGCAATCGTACACACCACATGCCCTCTTTCCACGGCCTGTTACAAACACCCCACACACTCTTTGCCCAGCCTCTCTGCGCTTGCACATACCTTACCCCATTTCTTTGGCTTCCCTGTGAACACATGCACCCTGCACCCTATTTCCTTGGCTGCCTTGTGGTTGTTCGCATGCGTGCACCACAGCCTCCCAGCAATTGCTTTTGTCCACCTCATTCCGTGGCTTTTCTGAGCTCATACTGCACCAAGCACCACCGCCCCGAATTTCTGTTTATTCTGGCCAGGCCTCCTGGGGCCCTCACCTATCCCTGCAGCAGCCCTGCTATAGCAATAGCAGTTAGACTTATATACCGCTTCATAGGGCTTTCAGCCCTCTCTAAGCGGTTT